CAAAATCCATTTCGCACCAGATTGAAACCGTGGTTGAAACCATAACGTTTGATGGTATTTGCAGGGCAATCATCAGGTGGTGCAGAATTTTTGTCCATCCAAAGTATTCCCTCATGAGAAGTCCTCCCCATGTGCGAACGACTATTGTGTAAACATCCTCAAAGTGATGTGATTCTCTTGTTTCAGTTCATGACTAACAACATTTCCCCGATGGAACGTGCTGACCTGAGCAAAAGGATTGCGTGTCAGCAGAAGCCATCCAATGGGTGTCATCGTTTTAGTTCCCTGCGTGCTCTCACAGGTCGCAAATTGTCAAGTGCCTGTCGAAAGGGTTGCCCTGGTTCATCTCATAGTCAAAAGCCCTGTGTCAATCACGATTTGCACCACGGCAAGTCCGGCAGCCCAAGCTTCATTTGAGATCCCAACTCCGAACACCTCCCTCTCTGCCAGTGCCTGCGCTGGATCGCGAAGCATTGAAGCCTCGGGCCTCGGCGCTTGGAAGCAGACCGGAAGTTCAAGGCATTTTCCTCGACATGACCTCAATTGTGGGACGTCTCTGCTGGAACAAAAGAGAGGCCCTGAAATAGATCCCCCACATTCAACCCGGCTTCTTGTGAAGTTTCGGAAAACCCCACAGACGATTCGAACCATTTCGCCAGCACTTGGCACCCGTCTTCAATCCGGCCCTTGGAAACTAAAGACTGACACACCAGGCTCTGCTTCAATCCAAGGACATCTGTAGAGCGCCAAAACCCGCGGCAGTCTCAACAGCTTCACTCTGAAAGTCGCAGTGGGAAACGAAAGCCGCTTACAGTTGACAGTTGAAAAGCAGGAAGAGTCCCACAAGGTGCTCTTGGCAAGCAACGGCGCTCTCAGGCACCCCACCGAGGTTGTGCCTCAGGTCGAACATGCGCGGCAACATGTTTCTGATACCGAGGTAATTCAAAAAGGACACGCCCAAATGGGAAACTGACCAACACTGGATGGCTGCACCATGGAATCTCTTGGTGCCTGAATAGGCCAGCCTCCAGAGCGTCTCTGCCACTTCCGCCCGCAGCCCATCGTCCTTGACGCCTGGATGAATTTGCCGCGCCGTGTCCTTTGAGGATTTCGTTTGTTTGTTTTTGTTTTTCTTCTCGAAGGCAGTCTAAGGGGAAGCCAGTCATTTGGCTGTGGCTCAAAAAACCGGTACCAAAAACACAACTGGTAAGTGGAAACATGGACCAAAACTTGCGGCTTGCCCCTCCGATCGTTTGATTTGGAGCCACACCCATTTTGACGTTCTCCATTTGTTTGAGACACAAGTCAAGCCAAGAGCTCAAAGCCTGGCTTTGTCTCTTGTGACCGCTGAAAGAGGGATCTGGATCCCGAATTTAGGCCCAGAAGAAATGGATCTGTGGCGAAGGGCCATGGTCAAAGCTGCACCCACAAAATACGTTCGCCTCTGGTCCTTCACTTGCGCTGTTCAAGGGTCAGGATTGCATTTGGGTGCGTCTTTTTGGAGGGTACTTTGTTCTGCTTCTTTCGCCTTTTTTTTCGGGCCCGGGGGGGGGGGGGGGTTGAAGGGAAACCAAAACGAAAACGAGCCATTTTAGTGGGGTCCAACCAGAAAGACAACAAAAAAAAAGCGGACACGCCCAGAGTTGGTTGCTTCCCCTGTACCCCGGGCCGTGAGGGCCCCTCTGCCTGGCACCGGAGAGAGGAGGTCCAGGACCAAGACCCGCGCGGGGCCCACCTCAAAGACTAAAGTCTCAGGCGCCGCCCTCCGGGGAAGCTCTGTGCTTTGGGTGCGACCCCCCAAAAAGTTGGCCACTTGTCTGTCCTACACCCCAGATGCGTGAGTACCCCCCTTGTTTGCCACTTGTCCGTACACCCCAGCGAATGCTTTTTGAGTGTAGCAGGTTTTTGGGTGGACCCCCTGCTTTGTGTTTAAAAGGGAAGCCAAAAGGCGAACCTGCGGATGGTTGCGACATCCTGTTCGCACCTGAGAAACCTTGGCTTCGGAGGATTCCCCCCTGTAAATATCGGCAAACAAAGGTTTCAACCATGGTTTCAAAGTGGTGCCGGCTTTCGTCCATCCACACTATGGGTCTGTCCTTCCTTGGGTTTATCCCCTTGGGAAACCATAAACAGCGATCGTTCTCTGAAAGAACGGTGGATGAACAGAATGGGCTAAAATGGTAGCCTCTTTAAACATCACACCAAACAGAAACTCACTGGTCATGTCTGAAGCAACCCATAGAGGAAGTATAGGGAAGCCTGACCTGCGCGATCAGGCAGCAGCCTGATTGCCAAATTGCGGCGGATTTGAACGTGTCTGGACTTGGCCCTGGTGGAATTCAACTCAGAATTAACAGACCTGTGGCACAGGGGGCACCACCATTGTTGATCTCCGGCCGTGCGGATCGGTCAAGCTTGACCGCCTTGCATAAGGTTTCATGTCCATACTCTGGACGGGCAACAAGCTGTTAAAACACCCCTCCAGTATTTGCCCATGAACGCATTTCATCAGTTTGCCCTGGATTACCCTTTTACCTTTGTCACCAGCTTATGGGTCCGACGTGTGCTGAGGAAAAGCGACCTGTCCAGTGGAGGCAATGACAAGCATCAACTCGGAAAGGAAAATGACAAAGACACAAGAAAGTTCCTCTGTCAATTGAACGCTGGTCGATTGATCCACACCCCGGAATGCCACCTATGGTGCTTAGATTGAGAGGCGTGGGCTGGCAAAGGAAATGGCCCTCAGAAAATCCGTGCGGACTATCAGCGCGGTTTTACGATGACTCGAGAACTCCGCGCTGCAGTCTGCGACAAAGGTTCCAGTGTCAATAATAGGTCTGGCCTTGGCGAGAGAAATGGAGCGTCAGTGAGCCACTCAGCTTGAACAGCGGCACGTTGCCCAGGCTCGCAAAGTCGAACGGCAAGGACTCGGAAAACAGCGATCAGGTCCGCTACGCGCAACCGCGTAGCCCGAAGATCAACAGAAACATCGCGCGCGCGACACTGCCGTTGCTCTTCGGGCAGCGAGGCAACGTGAGGCCCACACCCCCATCGGTGAAGGTGGCCACGCAAATGCCCTCCTGTGCCAATGTGGGCAGGGTGTAGGGCTCACGCATAGTGCGCCCAGCGATTCAATTTCTTCCAAGGGTTTTCCTATTACACCCTGGGATTGCGCCGCCCTCGTCAAGCCCATGTCGAGAGAAAACCCGGCTACTTTAGTTCATTTGGAGAACTTTTTTAGGGTGTAATGCCAGGGTGTAACTGGAAAATCCTTAGAACGCATGATCCTCCGGAACAAAGAGGTCCAAGCGACGTCCATGCCGCCAGGCGGTAGGGGATAGTAACCTCCAAGCGCCTGAAGGGGCAGGCCCTTCAAAGTGTACCAGTCCGTCCCAGCTCTCGCCCTTCGCCCGGTGGATGTTGTGGGTCTCCTTCCGGGGCTCCAGGGCCAGAAGAAGCTGGACGCAATAGCCGGGCTGGAGATCTTAGTGTTGAGCTCCAGGCGCCCAATCTGCCCCGCCAGATGGCAAACCTCGGCGCCTCACTGAAAACTTGTGGCTTCCCGCTGCCATGGCCGATCCGGGGGTATGGCTCCCAGTACTTGGGCCGCTTCGGGCCCAGACAAGCTCGGCGGGCCGGCCTCACGCGGCTGGCAAGATCCTCACGCTCCCGCCCTTGCTCTTGAGCTAGATCCCATTTCCGAAGCCCCAAATGAAGTCCGAGGGGTACTGTCGTTAGGAGAGTAGTCAACAAATAGGCCAATCTGAACTCAGACATGCGAAGCTTTCCTATTGGCAATTGTCCCACTCTGAGTACTCAATGGGTAGGTGTCCACGAACAAAACTGTGTTGTTCCTTTTGGTGTCCCTTTGAACCTACCTGAAAAAGGTACCTTCACACATGTATGTATATAGATATATATATATATATATATATATATATGAATATCTCTATATATATATACAGTACAGGGCCTCAACCACACCCAGCAGGCAAGGGGATGCTGTCATGACATCAAGTGGGACATTTGTAGGACAAGCAGCAAATCTCTGACCCCTGCCGGCAACAAGCGAACCCGACAAGGAGAGACAGAGGCCACGGGCACTTCCAGCTGGCCTGGATCAAAGGGGAAAAACATCGAAAGCAAAGCCCATTCCCGGCCTCCACTAAACTCAGGAGGCGCCGAAGAGGGGCTGCCTGCCCGGGACAACTCCCCCCGTTGCGGGGGGTAGCTGCGAAAAGCTTCGGAATGCTCACCGCTACCTCCCCTTCAAGCAAAAACCCCCTAGCAGCTGTTTGAAGAGGTCGCTGCTGTTGTCTCTTTTTTTTATCTGGGGGGTTCTTCCAATCAAGAAAGTGGACGTTTGGGGTGCTTGTCTTCCAAACCATTTTGTCCAGCTCCATTTCCTTGGCCAGAGGGTACCCAACTGACTTTGGGTTTTGGGCTTTGCGGAGTGCAGCGAATCTTCCCAACTAGCAGCGGAATGAACAAGCTGGGCAGTGTGGTCTGATTCCTAAAAGCATTCAGCATGTTCCTTCAACCCCTTTCAAAGCAAAACATACGCAAATGTCGCTCCCCTGATCGTCAAGCCACCTTTCTGCACTTTGTTGACCTCGAAGAACAGAGCCTGGCAAGCCATCTAAATCCCGCAAAGCAGTAAAGAGACCTGGAGCTTTTCCGGGAACAACCACCCCAAAGTCACGCGACCGCCCCTCCCACCCACCCCTCCCACCCCCGCGCCTCCAGGCACCGCTCGCAGGCAAGGACGGCCTTCAGGAAGGCCACCGCCAGGCCGCCCAAGTGCCCCAACCGCCAGCCTGGCGGCGCCGGCGGCGGCGGCGCGGGCGAGGGCGGCGAGGGCGCGGCGAGGGCGGCTTTTCGACTTGGTACCTTCCAGCTGGCTGGGAGGTGTTGGTTCTTGGAGCTGATTCCGTGATTCCCTTCTTCTTGGGGATGGCTTGAGGGGAAATCGAAAGGAAAGAGGAAAGCCTCTTCTTTTTGTTGGGGCGGGGGGGTTCCCCGAAAGAAAGAAGATAGGTATCCCCGCATGCAGTGAGGCCGCCTTTCGCGGAAACTCATCCTGAAGTTGGGCGAGAGGGGAGAAAGGGAAAGCCACCATACTGGTGTCCTTCCATTGGAAGTCTCCAAATGGACGGGTCCTTGGTGATTCTCCTTTCATTTCCCAACTCAACTCAACTCAACCCCAAGCAGAATGTTGCTAAAACTTTGAAACAACCTTTAAGGGGAAACATACTCTATGTAAGGACCCCCAGGAATACGAGAATGACAACCACCATTCCCTACAAGGCTCCATTCATGGTGGAAAGTGGGGGGGGGGGACAAATCGAAGGCTCGTATGAATACCCCATCCTACTAATAAGTGGGAGGGGAGGGGGGGGGTATCACCCAGAAACATCAAGGATTCCCGCATAAAGGGGGGGGGGGGGGGGGACGCGTCCTGGTAATCCACCGCCAGTTTCGTCGTCCGGGGATTGAAACCTCTCGGCTCGCTCGGCTCGCTCGCCTCGCAGCTCGGCGGCGCGGCGGCAGAGGTGCAGCGCCTCGCTACGAGATGTCCACCGAAGCAGGTGGCTTGGGAAGAAGTCGCTTGGGAACCCTGCACCTCCCGAAGCTCAATGCAATGCAGCTCTATTCCGAAACCGAGACAGCGGCAAGGCCTGAGAATTGGACCAATTGCGGAGAACAAAAAGCTCCTTTTCCCCCCACCCCACTCCCACCCCACCTCACCCCCCACACCCGGGTGCCGGGCCACTTCCCAAGCCCCAGCGCCCAGTCCCGCCAGCACCGCCGCCCCGAGGCCGCTGGCGCCTCGAGGTCAGCGCCCCAACAAAACGAATTGGAACTCCAACGGAGCATGCGGGGCTCTTCTCTCTTGGCTGCCCCATGTGTTTGTTTGTTCTTTTTCAAGGGAAACCCAAAGGAAAACCGAAATCCGTTGTGGGGAAAGGCCAAGTCCGACCAAAGGGACCCTGCGGGTCAACTTGAAGTGCGCTTTCCTCTTGAACTTGATCATGATTGAAGGGGAAATCTGGGTACGTCTTGAAATAGGGGACCCGCCCAAACGATGGTTCTCCCCTCTGAACCTCGCTGGATTCTGGTACCAACTCGAAGAAAGGACACACCACCCCGTGAAGGCCTGGCGGTCATGTTGGATTCATCCCCCTTCCCTGCCTCTACGTCCATTCCGGAGGTGGGTTTGTGATTTTCACGCATTTGACACATGACATACCTACCAAGTGCCAGTCGGCTTTCCTTTGATTTCGGCTTCCCATCCGTAGCAAAAACTAGCATATGTCCGTTGGTCTGGGCCTTGGTTTTTCCTGTTTTTTCCTCTGCTTGGTTGGAGCTCCTTGACTTTAGGTGTCCAAAAAAGCCAGGTTTCCAGGTTCCTCCGACTTCCGACATTCGGCGTGTCTTTTTGCGAGGATTCCCCCCCCCAAAAAAAGCTTCCTGTAAAACCAGCAAAACAGGCGTACCCTCAAAAATAGACAGATCCACATGTCCAGATTGGCTGCAATCTTGAAACTATATGGCCATGTTTTTGTAATGAGGAAACCATCCTCCACCAGATCAGTGCCTGGTGCTTGCTTCAATCGCTAGGGTACCTTGAGCCTGGTGCCTTCGCTCCACCCCAACGTTTTACGTATCCTGGTTTTTGTTTCCAGGCTGGATACCCCCATTTCATAGACCCCACGGTCCATGACTTTTGACAAGGGCAGAGTTAAGTTGAGTGCCGCTCCCTCGCTTCGCAGAGTTCGTGGATCGGATGATTTGGGGGTCACCCAAAAAGCGCAGGCCGGCAGTCTTATGACTGCGTGTATCGATGTGTCTCTTCAAATGGGATTCCGAATTCTTGTTCCCCATTGCCAAAATTCCCCCGTGCGAGGGAAAAACCTCACCCACTATCCTCTCATCAGAAACAACCCATGGACCCCCGAGTGTGTTGCCCAATTTCCGAGGATAGACCCTGGGCAAGTTGCTATACATCACAAACCGGAAGTATAGAAATCCCCAAAGGAAAAAGACCTTGACCACGGGGCGCGAGCTCGCTTCACCCTTGGATTGAGAGCTCGTTGCAACTTGCCCAGAACGAGGAGGGTGCTGTGCGGGCTTAAATGATTAGAACGGGGTTGCGGATGCTCGTAACGAATAGTAGAAACCACAGTATTCACACTGCAGCCCTCGGATCCCCTAAAAGTCTAACAATTTTAGTGGGTGAAATGGAGTTGCCACTCAACCAACCAAAAAAGGCCGAGGCACCGGAGGATTCGCTGGGAGCCACCAAGTACAGTAGCACCCGAAAGACTGCAGGATCCGTGTCCCCGCTCGGCCAGGCCCCGGGCTGCCAGCATCATCTTTGGCAGGCAGACACCTGGTGCGGCGTAGGAGACCCAAGTTGGTTCCCTTCAACTCAGCAAATACGTGGCAGATCTGTTTGGCTCAACAAAAATAAACATGTTTCCTGTTTGTTCCTGGCTTTACGGCTCGTTTCACTTCACCATAAGGAAAACCTTTACCTTCATGGACGCGGAGTTACAGAAATGGCATCCCCACCGGCTCAAAGATCCGCTTCTGTGATACAAGATCTTATGGACTGGCGGTGCTCCTTGAGACAAAGTCGACCCCAGGTTGATCAACCCCTTGTTGGTTCGGGGTGTCTCATATAAAATGGGAATCCCTCATTTTTGCGGGAAAGCCCGCTTCATCCGCGTTGAATAAAAGAAATGACGCTCATGGTCATAGAAGCCGTCGTTCAATGAATATATATATATATATGCGAAATGTTGGCATTGCTGTTGACACCACATGCGCAAGAGCTAGGTCCACATCCCTGGGTCTACCTTTGGCATTAAGCCACCCTTTGCATGACTGGCTACTCAAAAGCCGAGTGTACATACTGTGAATAAATGAGGGTAGGCGAGAGTTATTGGTATCACCGAGTTGGCAAGCTGTTCGTCCATTCGGAGCTGGGGTGTTTCTGAAAAGGACTTTAGGTGATTGGTTTCCTTTTGGCAAGGCACTCTAGGTCGCAAACCCAAACTTGTCGCGTCGTGAGGAACTGTTTGCCAACTAAAATAGGCACAAAGGACAGACCAGCTAGTTGATTGGGAAGCGAGCCCCCATTTAGAGACTTTGCGATACTTGGGTATGGGTCAAAATTAATCCACCAGGGGGGATTTTGGGTACCTATTCTTGACCCACAGCCACTTTACTTTTGGGGGAAGAGAGATGCAGCAGCCCTTCCTCTTGGAACCATCCACGGCTGTCTGAATATTGCAGGCAACTTAATGGGAAACACACAGAATTCAAGGCCAGCCGTTGGGTCTCATAACAAGTCAAATAGAGTCTGCCAAAGGATTGCCCAAAGTCACCAAGGAGCCGCTGGCCAAGTTGGCAGCAAATGCGTCGTCAGTTGCTTGAACCTGCTAGACCCGCACCAACTGTTCGGTCACCTCGCTGCTGTTACTGCCCCAGTCAGGCTCGCCCCAAGTCGCCACAGAGCCGTCGTCCAGGATGGCAGATCTGCTGGACACTCCGCCATAGGCTGGATTGCCCCAACTCGCCACAGAGCCGTCGTCCAGAATGGTGGCAAATGCACTCTGAGTTGCTTGGATGTGCTGGACACGCACCACCTGGCTGCTGTCTCCGCCATAGGCGGGATTGCCCCAAGTCACGACAGCCTTCAGGATGGCGGCAAATGCTCTCCTCACCTGGCTGCTGTCTCCGCCATAGGCGGGATTGCCCAAGTCACCACAGAGCCGTCCTTTTTTTGTCACCCGCACGCCTTGAGCCAATTGCCATCGGTCGCGAAACCTGTTAAAATACACTAAGAAGGAGAGGTGAAACAGATGGTGAGACGTCACTTGAAAAAGCCGGCGAAATAGGACAGGCCACAGAGGAGCCAAACAAACGAACAGAACCCAACCAAAAAACAGCCAAAAAGGACAGCGAACAAACAAACCGAGAGCAGAAAGGGATTTCGCCAGCACGCGGAAGTGCATGTTGAAATTAATTACGGGCGGAAAGGAAGGCACCAAATGCACTGGCTACGCGCGAAAGAGAACCATGAGGCTGAGCGGAGCACAGACCATATGGTTCACTCGCGGAGCGCACTACACTCTGCCGGGGGCACATTTGCGCATCGTTAACCCCCGTACATGGCCATGCAGAGGAGCATATGCAAGGAGACTACACTGAAGGCCGCACACACTAGCCAAGGAACGTGCATGAATTAGGGCAAAAATGCCACCGAGGCGACAAGCAAAAGGCATGCATGAATTAGCCGGCTCACAGGCATCACCTGTAGCCGCAGGGACAACTTCGCGGCATTGCGAGCCAGCGAGGCAGCCCAGCGGCGACACAGGAGTGCTCACACATTAGTCAACACCACAAGTGAGCCAACTGCAAGGGCCGCACGTCATGAGGAAGGGGACCATGGGCTGAGCGGGGCTCAAGACCACATGGTCCACATGCTACACTGCAGGGAGCAATGTAGCCGGTTGGTAGGGTGTCTGAGTGCTGGGACATCCGCCAGGGAGGAGTGGTGGCCCCCCCCTGGAGATGTGCCCTACCGCCAAAAAGACGCTCTGTGTGCAGTAGACATATGCCCGGATCAGGCATGACACGCAGAGGCGAGCAAGGCAGCAGCTACCGGACGATGAGCCCGGGATGTGGGGCTACATGGCCGGCATGCCAGGCACATTTTCCAAGTTCCTGAGTAATGAACGGACCAGGCCACAAGATTATTGTGGGGGCACTGGCCGTTGGCCTTAGCTAGGGTTGGAGTGCAGGGCAATGGACAGAGGACAACCGTGAGACCAAGCGGGGCTCGGTACTACCCGGTATTCCCCCCCAGCATTCATGTCCTTGACAAAGGGGTCATAAGGGAGATGCAGAGTAGGGTTGACTGCCCGCCACACCGCGCAAAGCACCTGCAGAGGGCTGGCAGCCCAACCATGGCGGTGCCTGAAGGGCAGTAAGCAATGTGAACAGCACAAGTGTGCTCTGTCAAGACAAACAGAGTAAAGCGCAGAGCCAAGCTGGCACAGTGCTCCCCGAATCACATCTTACCAATAAGAAAAATTGTGGGTTTGCCTGAGTTAGGGAATGGGATACGGGACAGAGTGGCAGGAAGATAGACAGAGAGACCGAGCGGGGCCCGATCAACACTGCAGTCCTGCCACGGCATGTGACTACCTGGCACATGTTCCCGTTGGGAAAGCTGGGTAGGGGGTATCCCGCATCACATCGCGCATAACCATATGGCGGAGTGGTGTATAAAGAAAGGCTGGGGCTTAAGCAAGCATAGCGATGAGACCAGCACAAGGCGACTTGCTAACCTGCCATGGTGGCTCGGTGAGGCACAGTACCAAGCAAGACACGGGTAGGCCAAGTAAAGGCAAAACCGGGGCCGGACCATGAGCCCAAGACGGACTCAGGATTACCTGGCCGAGCGCGTGCACAATGTTCCAAGATCCCAGACATTGCAGGGGCCTGGCGCGGTACAGGTCCTATGGCAAAGCAATTGGCAAGCGACCGAATGGTTAGGGTTTGGGGTGCAAGGCAATTGGCAGGAGAGAGACCGCGAGACCGAGCGGGGCACGGGACTACACGGACCTTCCGCCCCAGCAATCAATTTTCCGGCACGAATGCCCATTGGGGAGTTGCTGTTTCGGGGGTAATAGTAGGCTGTAGTCCTGCTACAGCTTTAGATTATCTGGCCATCTGGTGGTGTCGCCAAGCACGTGGCTCCAAGAGCCCAGACCTTGCGGGGGCCTGGCGCGGTGCAGGTCCTATTGCAAAGGCAG